TATTGTTGATTTATTAAGTACTCTAGTGTAAAACCTACAATTAACAAATTGATTATAATCTATTTGGTCGAAACATTGACTAAAGATAAACCCATGTTCATTTAAAATAATAATGAAATTGATTTGTTTGTATTTATTAAAATCAACCATTTTTGAAAGTTCTTGAAATTCATTGTTGGTACAAAGAATAATTACTTTTTTTAATGTTGGTAATTCAATCATTTTTCTTATTAGATTCAAATCATTGGAATTCAAAATAACTAATTCTTGTAATTGTGTAAAATATTCTGGATGTTTTTCTATTACTTTTTTACAATAGTATCCCTCCATTCGTAATTTTCTTATTTTTGAACAAAACCATTTTGTATCAAACATTTTTGTTTGTTTTGCTGTTTCATTCCATCCTCCTATTTCGATTAGTGGAATATCATTTGCTGATATTTTGTATAATCTTTCTGGACATCTTCTAACATAAAATGTTTGTAAATTAGGAAATAATGGAATAATTTCATCAAATGAATGATGGATTGTTAATTCATATGGATTAACATAAATCGTGTTGATTGCTTCTTCACATGATTTGCATACTTGTGCAAATCTCCCAACATCTTTTAACGTTGGTAAATACAATAATACATTCTTTAAAAAGACGTTTTCTAAATGAACCATTTTTGTTATTGGTAATTAAAAGTTCTTTTTTAAGATTTAATAAAAATGAGGAATAAATTGAATAATAGAATATTTATTTGTTATATTTCAAACTACAATAAAATAATGTTAATAACGATTATCACTTGAATTGAATATGATAAATGATATCAATTCATTATAAAATGATGTTCTCATTGTTCAAATACTTTCATCATTTCATCTTCATTCCATTCTTTATTTCTTTTATTCATGTTTTGATAATTAACTGATTATTCAACTAACAATATTTTGATGAGAGTTGATTGAATTAATCACAAACAATGAAATACCAATAAGAAAACACAACAGCACACAATACATAGAAAGTTTTAATCAATAAAACAAACAATGAATGAAATGAATAAACAATAACCAAGAAATAAACAATGAAATAAAGTGAAATAAAAATATAAACAATTACATTTTATAAACACTCAGAAATGATTATTTTAATTGGCCTGAGTGAAATAACATCACATTTAACATAAAATCAATGATTTCAATTAATAAAAGAAATAATCTGGAAAATAACACAACAAAACAATAACTATAAAATGTAAACTATATTCTGTTTAATTACAATTCCATTTATTCAAATACTTTAATATCCAACAACATCTAAAGTTTTATTATTTATTAAAACAAGAACTAACAACAAACCAAACTTAGAATAAACCATCAAAATAATAAATAATAGAGATAACATCATCAAAAACATCTATTGATAAAATAAAAGATTTAATTCAACAAATAGAAGAATGGACAGAAACAAGAATAGGAAATATAATATTTGATTCATATATATTGATAATCGGAATCATAATACATCAATATTTAATAAAAGAATAATAAATAAAGAACATATAATATTTATTATTGAAGATACAAATGGAAATAAATTTGGAGGATATGTTAATGTGAAAATTGATAAAGTTGGTAATTATATAAATGATCCAAAATCATTTTTATTTTCATTAGAATCAAAAGGAAGAATACAAGAAATGATGAAATTTGATATTCAAGAACCACAATATGTATTTTATTTAAATAATCAATCATATGATTGTTTGTCTACATTTGGATAATGTGATATTGTTGTTCATAAAGAAAATAATAAAACAGAATCATTTTGTGATCAATTTTCATTTTCATATAAAACAATATCAAATGCATTCTTTGGAAAACAATATCCAGAATATTTCACACCACAACGAATTATTGTAATTGAAATGAATTGACTTTAAATATTGTTTATTTGAAATGAAGAAGACAAAAAGTGATGTTAGAGTATTAAATATTTCACAATTCTTAATTATATTTAATTTATCTTTTAATTCTGTTTTTATCATTTTAATATGATTTTATATAATTTTAAAGTATTATATGAATAATTCATTGTTAGATTGTTTTGTTCTTTCATATGATTGGGATAATAATGGATTAAAGCAAAAACTTACTCCAATGTTTAAACATAAAAGATTTATATGTATAGTGAATTGTGATGATGTTCAAGAGAGTTTTTGTGAAAGAGGTGCTTATGCAATTAAAGAAACTGCTAATTTGTATCATATTGCATATAATGAGTTATATATGGTTGGATGTGATGGAGAAGGTATTGTTGAGAAAGACATAAAGAAACAGGAAAAGGCTATTAATTTTGGAAAGCAAGTTGGTGTAGAACATTTACAATCTATTAATTAACATTCTTTCTTTTTATTCTTTTATTCTCATACTCGAGTTTAATCATCATTATAAACATTTAATTTCTTTATTCTCTTTATCAATGAAGATAAGTGTTATTAGATTAATAATTGAATTGTATTTTTGTTGATGATAAACTTTATTATGATAAACTTATTATATCAATAAATGAATTATTGATGAAGAGTTATTTTGAATTTGATTTTATTTATTGAATATCATTTATCATTCACCAATCATAACATTGTTTATTATTTGTTAAATCTTTTATTTTAATCAATCAAATTTATCAAAAATGAATCAAGTTATTCATCATCATTACTTTCTCTTATTTAAGGCACGAACTGAAAAATCCTCCCATTGGAATATTATTATGAGTAAATCCTCCCATCATTCCAAATCCTCTCATCATTTCATTTTGTTGTTCTGTTATTACTTCAATATTATCACATTCAATCTGGTTGATTGAATTTGATGTATCAATTATCTTTATATTATGACATCTTATCATTTTAACTTCTTTTCCTTTAACATCATCCTTAATATTAATTCCACTACATTCTTCCATTTCAACTTTCTTCAAAGATTGGTTTAACATAAATTGCATGTCATTTATTCTTTTCATTATAAGTTCTTCTTCACATCGGTAAATGATTTCGTTAACTCCAGTACTATTATTTAAAATTGCTTTGTTACATGATACACTTAAATTGAAAACAGGAAATTCAGAGTTTTCAATATGTATTGTGTCAATGTTTACATTATGAGAACATGATCTTACTGAAATACACACTTTACTATCAATAACTTCTAATAACTTTTTATTTCCATAAATTTCAAAATCAATATTCTCACATTTATTAATTGATATTGATCTAGCACATCCAATTTTTGATCTATTATCTTGATTATTAAATCGAGTTTCTTTATTATTCTTACAATTAATGAATTGAATATTTCCATAGTGTTCATGTTCTCCTTCAAGTGTGATATTTTTACAATTTTCTATTGTAACATCACTATTAATATCACTTTTAATTTTAATATTACGTTCATGAATATTTCTTATTATAATATGGGTTTTATCTGTTTCTATTTCTATATCTTTATTTGTATTATCCATTTCTATTATTTCTGTATCTTCTTTTATAACTTTCGTTGTTTCTGGAATATTACATTCTTCATTATCTATTGTGATGATTTCTTCAATATTATCTAACTTCCCTGTGATTTCTGTATTTTTACATTTTGTTATTTTCATTTCTTTGATTTGATTCTTGTTGATTATGAATTGACAATTCTCACATTCATCAATACATAATTTCTTACATTTATCAAATAATTCTTCAAAGATATATTCTTTCATTGATACAATATATATCT